TTGTAAAATTTCTGTAGTTCCTGATCTTAAGAGAAAAAAACAGCTAGTTGTCCACTAAGATGTTATTGATGGCAAATTGACCGTGAATGCATTTACCAGATTTGAGGACCTGTTGTGTGTGTGTGTGTGTGTGTGTGTGTGTGTGTGTGACATTTTTCTTGTGGCACACAACATAAACGCTTTCATTTTGACGATGACACTGATCAGTTTAAAAACAAACAAATGTGACTCGGATTTTGAATGTTAAACCAATATTGCAACCCATCTGGTCAGGGTGTGTGAGTGCATTTATCCCTTTAATGTTATCACTGTTAGATTTTGGGGGACAAAATATGTTGGCAGAAGCTTTGGCCTGACATTTTCTTTTCTTGTAACCTTTTTAACCGGGTTGGGCCCCAGGTTTATGCTGGCCGCATAAAGTGTGTTGGGGAAAGGTCCTTTCTTCTATTTTCTGAAAGCGTCTATATATGATTGGTATCGATTCTTCATCAAATGTTTGAAGAGAAGATTAAAGAGCACTGGAGATAAACAGAAAGTAGCACTAAGATGATAGAATCAAACGCAAACCATATATTCGTTTAAATACAAATTAACTATACCCCCGGTCTAAAACAATTCAGTAGGAAAGAGTTATTTCAACAAATGAAGTTACAATTGGATAGTCATACAGAGAGGAAACAAAAGAACCTTGACCCCCCCCCATGTCATATGCAAATTGTTTTTTAATTAATTAATAACAGTTCATAAGCTTAAATGTAAAACATGAAACTATAGAGATCTTAGAAGAGAATAAGCATGGGGTTAGCAAAAATTTCCTAGAGGATACTGCAAATAATACAAATAATCAACTATGATAAAATGAGGTTTTATTAAAATCAAAGTCTTTTGCTCTTCACAAACACTATTATACATACAAATAGGAAAACAACAACAACAACAACAACAAATCCAGGTCATGAGATATGTACCTGATCGAGGATATATCCAGAATTTGTAAAGACCCCCTGTAATTTGATGAAAAGTCAACCATTTTTTTTCTTAAAGCAAGACTTGAAGAGACACTTCACCTATGACTTAAGAAAGGCCAAAGAGCACACAAAAACAGAGAAATGCAAATCACAACTACGCAGAAATACCACTACAATTAGCCTGACGGCAATTAGATTCTTGGAAAACATTGTCTCTTTGCTGGATCTAGCAATTCTACTAGGCATCTATTTACGAAACAGGAAAACATGAATAATAAAGAAAATTGTACAAGAATGTTTCATAGCAGCTTTATTAATAAAAATAAGGTGCTTCCAATAGCAAAGGCCATCAGAAAGACAATGGGTAAACAATCGACGGTGATTCTAAAGTGTACGGCAGAATACACTAGGAAAACATATGCCATAGAAGAATTTCAGATACTGGAAAGAAGTCGGATACAATGGGGAAAAAGGACACATCTGTATGATTCAATTTATGTGGAGTTCTTGAACAGGCAAATTGTTTATTTAATTGTGGCGGAAATAGAAGCCTGCCGTCCGGGACTGAAGAGGAAGAGGCATGTGAAAATTTTTCTGGGGTAATGAAAATATTTTGATTTTTATAGGTGTGTGGGTTATATGAATGGTTTCCATGTGCCCCAAGGTGCATGGTCACCACTCATTGACATGACCAGGCGTCAACTGATGAAGACGGAGGAGAAATGTACTGTCCTTAGACTTGACCCAGGATCCTGGCCGCAGCCTCCCTAAGATGAACCATTCAGGGCCCAAGGGCTGGACCCGGGACCCCCGGCGGCCCTCCTCCCAGGGCCGCCCCTTCCGCTTTCTCGACGTTCGGGCTGCGTCCGAATTGGGATGGCTGCAAGCCAACCACCCGTCATTGTCACCGATCCAGCCCTGCTCCCACACCCCCACGCTTACACGCTGCACTTTTCCTTTCCTTTCTTTAATTTTCACTTTTCTTTCATTTCTCACCCTGCCCCAGGCAGGTTTAACACCTTCCTGTTTGCAGGGCGGCCGGGGGTGGGGCGCGCTTTTCCAAGGGGCAGGGATTGTAAGCTTTGCATCAAAACAAAACCCCCTTCTCTTCCAAAAGGAATCCCGAAGACGTCCTGGGAAATCACGAAAAGAAGAGGGAGAGAAGCTCCCCTCCGCCAGGAATTGGGGGTGTGTGTGTGTGCAATTTCTGACTTTCCCTACCCCCTCCCTCCCGGTGAACGTGAGCCGCCCCAGTAGAGGAAACCGGAAATGGTCGTGCAAGCGGCAGAAATGCAAACAGGCGGCCGAACAATAACAGGACCCGCAAACCCGTCTGGGATCGGGTTTTCTCCCTGCAGCCGCGCAGGGAGCCGGCTGCAAAGCCCACAGCAGGAAGGACAACTGTCCGGACGGCTGCGGGTCTGCCAGGTCCCCTCACACAATCCTTTCGGGTACAGCCCCGGGACCCTTGGCAATTTCGAGCCAAGAGCTCCCACATTTCCAAGTTCGCAACGTCCCAGACCCCAGGCCACTGAATGTCCATGCCAGGACTCCGTGCCCGGCACTAGGGTAGGAGGATGGCATCGAACCCTGTTAGCTGGCTCAAGTCCCCTCCAAATCCCACGCCCAGCCTGGCTGCTGAGCTGAGCCTGGCTGCTCCCTACATCCTTACCATCTATGTAAGTTTCCCAGCAGGGCCCCTCTAAATCCTCCAAATCCCGAATGCCTCCCCCACCCCCACCCCCAAAAACAACACAAAACACCACGATCCCGGGGCTCCAAACGCCCGGTGCACAAAACCCAGGACGCAAAGCGGACTCTTCAGGCTGTCCGCAGCTTACCTGAACCTCAGGGGAGGATGGAGCCGTCCTGGGGAGCACAGACCCTAGGTGTCCCCAGAGCCCTGCAGCTAGGTTTGCCCGGGATGGTAGCTTTGGGCTTTTGAAGAGCAGGAAACTTTTAGCGCCAATGCGAGCACGTGGGAAGGGAAACTCCCAATCCCATCAGCCACCGCGAGGCTCCTGGCAAAAGGGTTGCAGTCACCATGACAAGTAAGGGCAAGTCAGGGCCCGCCGGCAGAGGAGGAGGACAGGGTTTGGTCGTGAGCTCTGCAGGCAGAAGTTACAGAAGAGGCCTTCACTCAGAGTCCATATTATGAAAACGCAGGAATAAAGGGCCCAGCAGTAAAGAACAGAACAAAACACCTGAACGACGAAAGGGGAATTGGTGGAAACCATTTTGGAAGGTACTTGCCATTGAGATAAATCCCCAAACAAGAAAACCTTTGCATTTGCTTTTCTCTCTCCCTGGAACACTTGTTCCTCATCGTGGCTTGAAGACATTCCTTCTCAAATGTCACCTGTTAGGGAGGCTGTCTTTGATTTACCTATCTACCTTTGATTTGATTTGTGTCCTCCCAGATAACCTCCTTCACTGCCCTATCATTATCTGAAAAGGTTTATGTGCTCATTAACTTCAATACACAGCACCATAAGCCTTTCAATGAGAGCAAGAGACCTTGCCTATTATTCATTGCGGTGTTCCTCAACGTCTAGTACCGTTTGGAGTAAACTAAAAACACACAAACAAACACTGCAACTCCGATTCGTAGCGATCTTATAGAAGAGAGTAGAAATGTCCCTGTGGGTTCTCGAGACCCTAAATCTTCATGAGAGTAGAAAGCCACATCGTTCTCGCTGGGGGCAGTTGGTGGTTTCGAACTGCTCGCCTTGTGGTTAGCATCCCAATGCGTGATTCACAAGCCACCAGGGCCCTTTACCCTTTGGGGACAACAAGTAAAAAAGGAACAAGAATAAAACCAACCAACAACCCAAACCTGTTGCTGTCGTCAGTTATGACTCAGGGCCACCAGGTGTTGTGGCCTAGAATTGTAATCTGTGTCCAGGTCTTTCTGGCGGCCCGGTGAGTGAGACATGGGTTGCTAACTGCCAAGTTGGCGATTCAAACCCACCATCTGCTCTATGCTAGAAGGATGACGCAGTCTGCGTCCTGGAGAGCAAATGTTTTGAGAATGATGAGGGCAATGAATGTACAAAGGTACTTTACACAATGGATGCATGTATGGATTGTGATAAGGATTGTATGCCCCCCTAATAAAATGATTTAAAAAAATTTAGTCTCGGAAACTCCAGGGAGTAAGTTCCACTCTGCCCTAGGGGTCACCATGAAGTCGAAATCCACCCGTCGGAGTTCACCCGAAGCTGCTGGGTAGATTTCAACTGCGCAGGAATGCACGTTTGCACCGCCCAGGGACCTGCGCAGCAAGTCGTGCCACACTCTGACTCAAAGAGGCAGGATAGGACAGAACAGTTCTGTTCTTGAGGGTTTCTGAGGCAGTACAAACTTTCTCCCGTGAAGTCCCCTGTGGGTTCGCATTGCATAACTCACTACGCCCCCAGGCCTCCTAGGAGTTCAATAACAAATGTTTATTGACTTAATTACAGAGAAAGAACTAAGGAATCTAGCCCATGAGAGGCAAAAGTTCAAAGACTATACAATCAAGTGCAGTCCTGGCGCCCACTGCAGGCGAGGTGGGGTAGGTGCTTTCAGCTTGCAGACGAACGCCGGAGGCGGCCCGGGGAGCGCGGGCGCGCTTGCCCGGGACAATGGATGTAGACTACAACTCCCAGCAGCCATTGGGGGGGCAGAGTTCAATCGATTTAGACTACAACTCCCAGCAGCCATTGAGGGCCAGAGTTGCCGGGACCTGTACGCCAGACCCGTGGTCTCCTGTTCTCGCCCCGCCCCTCCAGTGTATCTCCCGCGAAATCTGAGCTGGGCGGCCGAGGCCCAATCGAATGGTGGGCCTCTGATCAACGCCCAATGGGAAGCCGAGTCTAACCCCCGCGAGAGCAAGTGCTGTGTAGGGACCGGCGGAGCTGCGCAGCACGGTGCTTTCCACACTTCGTAGGTCCGGTCGGCTGGCTCCCCGGCTGGAGGACGTCTGCCCCCTCCCGGAAGAGGAAGGAAAGCACAGGTGGGTTTCTCGAGGTCGCCGACCGGATCCCTGCGGATCCCGAAGCTGCCCTGGTCGCAGCCTGTAGCTCGAGCGAGCAAGGTTGTCGGCCTGAGGGCCAATGTCTACCGCGCTTTCTCTGCAGCATGAAGACCCTGGAGGCGCAGCCGTTAACCTCGGACTGCCTGCCTTCAGTTCAGGCCCCGGCTTCCCCGGAGGACAAAAATGAGGACCCTGAACTACTGCCTCCGGGACCCGATGGGGACAATCCCCCCAGGATATCCCCAGACCCCGTAACTGTCTCATCTGGGGCCCTGGAACTGGGTGAGGAAGCGTCTCCCTCTACTCTCTTGGAAACGGGGTTTACTGGTACTCCTAGTGAGCTGAGCCCCCGAACCGAGGAGCAAGACCCGGAAAATGCCAGCCTTCCTGTCGAAGAAACAAACGGGTCAGAGTTGGAGCCTGGAGAAGCCATGGAAGGTGTGTCCGAGGAACCAGCTGTGGAGGATGAGGGAAGCATGTAAGTAAGCGAGGGTGGCGTTATCCCTGGAGTCTAAGGAGGTTACAGGTGTGAGATGAACGCTATCCTCCAGTCTCACCCACGTCCCCACGCCCATTTCCTCTGCTCTGGCGACCCGGTGCTGTTGTCTCTTCCAGCTCTTGGACCTACAGCTTCTCGAAGCCACCTCGATTTCTCAGTGGTTCCTGGTCAGAGTTTAGCACCCAACCAGAGAACTTTTTGAAAGGCTGTAAGTGGTAAGTGAGGGTATTGGGACAGGGAGACAATCACCCCCTGGATTGTCAACCTGGAGACACCCCAGCTCCCTGGGTGAAGGAGCTGGTTAAGACAGGTGTAAGAATTCCCTTTCAGACTGGGTTTAAATTTCATATAGACTCGTGTCATTCACCTCTCTCAACGACTGGGGTGCTTTAACGATGTGCTGCCCAGTCTCCTAACCCCTTTCTCCTTCTAGGGCCCCTGATGGCTCTTGCATCTTGACCAATAGTGCTGATAACATCTTAAGGATTTACAATCTGCCTTCCCAGCTCTGCGGTGAGGAGGAGCAGCCAGACTATACAGAAATGGTAAGGGCCCTGGCTCACTCGGTCTCGTCATCAGATACCTTGTCTTCTTCAGCTGTCTTGGCATGGAATGATTTCCATTTAGGTGGACACGTCTCCTGTTCACAAATGGAATTCTTCTGTACCGTGAACTTCACGTAGCATGTTCTGCTCTCAATTCTGAAGTATTTAAAGAGATGTGTACATCTATACATATGCACACATGCGTACATATCAGAAGCTCTGGGGGTGCATTAGTTACACACAGGGTTGCCATCTGTATGGTTGGCAGTTCAAAACCACCAGCAGCTCCCAGGGAGAAAGATGGGGTTTTCTACTCCCAGAAACACTTCACAGTCTTGGAAACCCACAGGGTTTCATATCGAATCAATCCCCTGTGAGTTTCTAAGACTGTAACAGTTTTTTTGTGTTTTTAGCCACAAAAAATGAGTGGATTTCCCATGGCTGTATTTAATTTATGCACAGATATTTATTGACTATCTGTAATGGTTGGTTGCTATGCGTCAGAATCCACTTGACAGCAGTGAAACCAGTGTGCCCGTCAACCTGTTTGGTACTGGGAGGAAGTGGTGAACACGGCAGATATAGAACTGGCTCGCTTTCTTAGATGGGAGATTGACAACAAACACACAAGCCAATACGTAATCGGAATCTCTACGGGTTCTATACATGCAATGAAGAAATCAACAGAATGAGGAGAGCTTCCCTGGAGGTAGCAGTTGAATTAACGTTGTTGGAGAGAGGCTCTCTGGAGACACCTGAGCCGGAGCTGAGACCAAACCAAACTCACTGCCACTGATTCCATTCTGACTCATAGCAACCCTATCAATTTCCATAAAAACTCACTGCTGATTCCAATTCACAGGGTTGAACTGCCTCTGTGAGTTTCCGAGACAGTAACTGTTGATGAGAGCAGAAAGCCTCGTCTTTGTCTGGCAAACCGAGACCAGTAGGCTGATAGGGACCAGTTTGGTGAAGAACCATGCAAAGTGCCTTCCGGAGGATCGTGATTGAGAGACCCAGCACGGGAAAGAGTTTTGTGTGCTTAACAGAAAAAAGACCCGTGTGGCTGGACTGGGGCAGTGGAGGCTGGGTGAGGACTGGTTAGGAGCCGTGAGAGTAGGGTCTTAACTGTCTTGTATAAATATGCCACTCATAAGTGGATTAGGACCCACCCTTCTCCAGTAGAGCCTCATGCTAACTGATGCCAATAGGGTCTTCAAATTTTTATTAGCAAATAATTCACATATACAATTCAATAGTTGAGTCATGTCAAGAAGAGTTGTACTGTCATTACACAATCAGCTTTAGAATATTTTCATCATTCTTGTACTGCGCATTTCCCCCCAGCATCGCCTGCCACACCCCCAAGGAACCATTAATCCAGTTACTGACTCGAGATTTGGAAAAGACCCTATTTTCTTTTTTTTTAAAGACCCTATTTTCAAACGAAGTTGCAGTCAAAAGCACCAGGGGGTAGGATTTCAGCCTTTTTGGGGGGCGGGGGGTGGGGAGGTGGGCATGGGGGCTGCGACTCAATTCAGGCTGTAACACCATCCGTTTAAAGTGAGGCCAGTTAGCTTGGTTGCACATCTTTTCCCAGCAAGTTTAGTTTCTCTGTGTAAAATAATAGCACCTATCTCATAGAATTGTGAGAATTTAAAAGAATTAATGTATAGAACTTAAAACAGTCCTCGGCATATAGTATGTTTAGTTTTTTGTGGGTCTTTTTGCATACCGTTCAGTACTCAGTAAGCACCAGTGTAAAGGAGCCCTGGTGGCATCGTGGGTTACTAGCTAGACTACTAACTGCAAGGTGGACAGTTCGAAACCACCCGCCACTCTGAGGGAGAATGACGAGGCTTTCTGCTCCCATAAAGATAGAGAGTGTTGGAAATGCACAGGGAAAGACCGACTCAGCCCTTTAGGACCGCTGGGAGTTGGAATTGACTCAGTGCAGGGAGAGGTCTCGGTGTTAGCTGAGGAAGGGCAGGAAAATGGGAGAATAGGTGGAGTTTGTTGAGAAAAATACAAGGGTGCTTATCTATGCTCATATTGACGAGCCAGAATCCAAACGGCATAAGGATATGAATTGTAAATGTAGTGTGTTTGGTTAGTTTGTGTGTGTATGTTGTGGAAATATACACCCTAACATGTCCATCATTTCAACAGTCTCCACGTGTCCAGTTCAGTGGCACCAATGGCATTTTTCATGTTATGTCACCATTGTTGCTCTGCTTTTCCAAATCATTCTGCCATCATCAACAAACTCAGTCCTTCTAAATAACAGCGCTCCCCCTCCCCTTCCCCCTCCACCTTCCTCTCTTGGTAACCACTTCTAATCTTTGGTTTCTGTGTATTCGCGTCTTCCTCAGTATGTTTTCAGTGAAACTGAGTATGTGTAGGGAATGGCTGAGCCAGGGAACTAGCTGGGTCAGAGATCGTGGTGTGAAATTGAAGTTGAGACGGACCATGGCTGGTGACGCCTCAGCCCAGGACGTGACCCTGGCAGTGGTGATTGAGGAGAGTGATGGCCCTGGCTGTGGGTGCTGAGAGAGGCCAGGGTCTTGGACGGTTCCTTTATTTAAAAAAATCATGTTATTGGGGGCTTGTACAACTCTTATCATAATCCATCCATCCATCCATTGTGTCGAGCACGTTTGTACATTTGTTGCCCTCATCCTCCTCAAAACAGGATCCTTTGTTCTTTCATTATTTCATTCCTTCCACAGAATTCTGTCCAGCACATTCTTACCCACTCGGCACTGTTTTGAGATCCTGGGAATTAGTCGAGGAAGGGAACGTACAGTAGTCCCTGGCCTCAGGAAGCCTCTCTTCTCCTATGGGGAGCAGACGATAGAGAAATAGCCAAGGAAAGTATCTGCCAAGTGCCTTGGAGAATAACAGCAGATAAGAGAATTGGGGGGAGTGAACTGCGGGTTTAAAAAGGCTGACCAGGGATGACCCCAGTATTGAGGTGACCTCTGAGCAAGACCTGAAGACCCAGGGGAAGGAGCGCTGCAGATGTCTGCGGAAGAATGGGGGGCTGGAGCGCAGCGCGTGCAAAGGCTCCGGGGGTGGCGACAGGTGGGGATAGGAAGCAGGGCTTTAGCCGCAGTCTCTGGGGAGAGAGGTTGAGCCAGGGGCAGCGTCTCAGTGATTGAAGGACGATGGCAAAAAGAGGACAGAGAGTTTGAGGGAAAGAGCTTCAGGGAACTGTAGCTTGGGGAGGTGAAAGATTGAAAATAACCTTGGAGAACAAGATTGATACCCACCTCCTGACCTTGGGGTCTACTGAGGAAGGAGGGTGAGAAGTAGGTGTGAGAGACTGGCAGGAGACAGCCAGCGTCAGGCCCAGGTGGGTGAATGGACAGAAGGGGACAAGAAACAAGGAAGTTGTTGGAACCTAGAGTAGGAATCTTACTAGGTCTGAGTTCAAGGAGGTGGAGGGCAAGGGTATGTGCAGGATTAGGGTCGATGAAGGGGTGTATAGAATGACACACACAGGTCATGATCAGGGATGACCCAGAAGACTAGGTCTTCTCTAGTGTTTGAGGTCAACGGCGACGAGTCTTGGTGGCTTATCCAAAGAATAAGCGTGTCCAGTTCCCAGGGATGTCCTGTCTGCTGACCAGACCCGCAGCTCCATGTGATCAGAGGCCTGGTGAGCTGCAGACGTGAGTTCTCTCTGCAAGAAATAAGGCACGATTAGCTCTGGGTCCTGGAACCAGACATCAGTGGGCATCAGGACTGGGTGGGCGTGGTGCAACCATTTTGAAAGCGCTCAGGAGCAGAGAGATGGTTTCAGGCCCAGGCACTGAGAAGGGAGTCTGGAGATGCAGGAGGCTCGCTATCTATTGCAGCAACGGTGAGGAAGAGACCTGGGAATGTTAAAAGAGGAAAAACCAGGCCCCGCTGCCAACCGCGTTTGAAAAATCAGCCTTTTCAGTTTTTGGCCCAGTACCGACAGCTTTTGGGCGGTTGTAATCAGATAGGTATGTGCTTATGTGGTTCTAGTCATGTATACAGAGCCCTGCTCACACTGTCAGGCACACGTTGGACTGCTAAGCTCAACGTTGGCGGTTCAAGTGCACCAGCTGTCCTGGGAGCAAGATGAGTGAGTCTCCCCGCTCCCTATCAAGATTTACAGCCTCAGAGCGCCTGTGTAAGGCTGCTATGAATCGGAATTGACTTCGTGGAAGTGGGTCTGGGTCTTTGGGTTGAATCATGGACCGGACAGCTTTGTACGTTGCTGTATTCCCTGAAGAGTTGTACTCTAAATGTTTTGGGGTTTTTTCCGGATGCTCAGTCTTCGTAGTTACCATTTCATGGTGTCTGATCATTGCAATGAGTGCCGGTGGTACTTTTCTTACCTACATCCCTGATTCGGACATTTGGCTTGTTTCCAGGATTTTTACATCACGAATTAATCTTCAGCGAGCACTTTCATGTACTTATTTTGCAGGGTTGGTCCTTTTTTTAAGAGCAATTTTACAAGTAAGACGTACCCCGGGGTATC